AGTGCTATTGAAACTTCGTGGCCCATGTGCAGAAGTCGGTATTTTGTGGAAGAGCCACACTCAAGGGGCCAAAGAGCAGCATGTGGCTCGCGAGCCGCAGTTTGCCGACCACTGTTCTATGCTAATGCTTCCTAGCCTTAAGATTCCTTTCACAATAAATATCTCACGAATCTCATTCCTTGAAATTTTTAAATAATTGTATTACTTTGGATGGTATTTGTTGAAGAAATATTTATTAAGGGCCTGCTATGTACCAAACAATATTCTAGGATACAGCAGTGAATGAAAACATTCCAATTTTGCCTTCAATCAGCTTTTATTCTAGTGGGAAAAATAGGTATTTTTTAGCAAAAATGTTTAAATGAATTATTATTTGTTGTAAGTATGCCATTAATTATTATATATAATTTTATGCAACATAATACATTGTATCATTTATGGGGTGACATATGCTATTTATTTTGGCATTTATCTCTCCTTTACTTACTTTAATAGCTCCCTAATGGGTATCCCTGCCTTCATTCTTATAAGCTCTTTTCATTTTTTTCTCCAATACAATTTTTTTTATCTACAGAACAGTCACAGTAATTAATCTATGTATATAAAAGGCTAATAATGCAAAGTGTCCCCCAGGACCCAGAAGTTCGATCGCTTGCTACGACGTTTGCTGACCACCAGGGGCGGTACAGAACAAAGGAAAGCCCGGGCGGGCAGCCAGCAGCCAGGGAAGGAAGGCCCCAGTTGGCAGCCAGAAGGTCCTGATCAGCCCTGATCACTGGCCAGGCCTAGGGACCCTACCCGTGCATGAATTTTGTGCACCGGACCTCTAGTTTTTAAATAAAAATGCAAATTAGATCATGTTACTTCCTCATCCTATAATTTACATACAATGTCTATGGTTTGTCTATTTAATCTTATTTCCTATTACTTTCTCTATTCGGCTCATTATGTTCTAGACAATTTGTCATTTGTTCCACAAGCACATCAAGTTCATTCCTGCCTGAAAGCTATTAGTTGTATTTCTTCCTTGGAAGTCTCTCAGCCCTAAATCTTATTTAGCTTGTTATTGACATTTCAGGTCTCAGGGCAGACAGATGTCACCAACACAGAAGCCTTCCTTCATGTACAAATCTAAATTCCTATCCTAATATAGTCATGTTCTATCACTCTACTTTGTTCAATTTTCATAAAGACACTATGAAACCCTTACTTACTTGATATCTTCATATTTTAATATTTATCCAAATCTACCATTTTCTAAATTGTAAGGTCCATGAGAATAGAAACTTTATTTTTCATATTCACTGTCATTTTTCTTATTATCTAAGATAGTGTCTGTTACACATTGTTCAATAAATATGTATTAACTGAATTATTGAATGTGAGGTTTTAGATGGACTATATGTTAAATGAAAATTGAAATCTAGCTTCTACCAAAAATAGACAATACTGAATGACTCAGTGTTGGCTACTTCATTTCCTGCTTTAAAATGTCACCTGGCTTATTTCCATAATTTTTGGAAATTTTTATTTTGTTTTATTTTTAAAATATGAAATAGGTTTTCAGCTGCCATTCATAAGCACTTCTCTATGAATAACATGTTATGGTATGGATAGTTTTTATATCCAAATGAAAACCTGATGGCTTTACTTTTAGCTAGATATTTTCACTACGTTAATTTTTAAATTGGCTTCTGAAATAGGAGACATCTTTAAGAGCTATAAAATGATTGTGATGATGTGAAACACAGCTTATGGAATTAATAGAGATCATCTTGAAGTGAATTTGCAGAATTATTGTTTATTGTTTTATGCTCTCAAATCAGTAATCTTATGAATTCTGCCTCTAACCAGTTGTCCATTGTGCATAAAATGAAATAATACATGATTGAAAATAATTACAATATGAAACTGTATAATGGTCAAAACCATTAATGTTAAACTCAGTGACTTCCAGGAGTTGCACTCTCAATTGTTATATTAAAATAATTTTAAAATAATTTTAAGTGCTTATTTTATTTAGTATTTAATTTTGAGGAAGTCAAACTTGTCAAAATTTTTTCTTTTATGAATAATATTTTTGGTGTCATATTTAAAAAAATCTTTGCCTAACCCAATATCACAGAGGTTTTCTTCCAGAAATTTTATGTTTGTAAATTCTATAGTTAGGTCTATGATGTATCCTGGTAGATGTAACCATTTTTATATAAGTTATGAGTCATAGGTTTAAGGCTCAGTTTTGTTTTTTGTTTTAATTGCATTTGAATGTCCTATTGTTCCAGAACCATTTGTTAAAAAAACTAATCTTTCTATATTGAATTGCCATTACATCTTTGTCAAAAATCAATTGGCCATGTGTGTGTGTGGCGGGGGGAGGGGGGAGGGTCTTTTCTGGAGTGCTCTATTTTTCTCATTGGTCTATATTAGTGATGGCGTACCTTTTGAGCTCGGCGTGTCAGCTTTTTGAAAAACCCTAACTTAACTCTGGTGCCGTGTCACATATAGAAATTTTTTTGATATTTGCAACCATAGTAAAACAAAGACATATTTTTGATATTTATTTTATATATTTAAATGCCATTTAACAAAGAAAAATCAACCAAAAAAATGAGTTCGCGTGTCACCTCTGACACGCGTGTCATAGGTTCGCCATCACTGGTCTATATGTTCATTCTGCCAGTGCCACACTATTTTGACCACTGCAAGTAGATATGTAATAATGGGTCCTCCTTTCAGCTATGTTTTTATTGTTTTAGTTATACTTGTACTTTTGCCTTTTCATATACATTTTTCAACATGTTGATATCAGCAAAAAATCTGTCAAGATTTTGATTGGTGAGATTGTGATGAACCTATAGATCTTTTAAGAAGAATAAACATTGTGATAACATTTAATAATCTAATCCATGAACACAGCCTGCCACTCCATTTATTTAGATATTCCTTTATTTTTTTTTTATTTTCTTGTTTCCCAGTATATAGGTCTTGCACATATTTTGGTAGATATATACCTAAATATTTCATGGTTTTGGAATTAATACTTTTAAAAAATATCTATTTCTAGGTTTTTATTCCTAGTATATAGAAATATAAATGGCTTTTGTATCTTGACCTTATATCTCCTACCTTAGTAAACTCATTAGATCTAAGAGCTTTTTTATATATTCCTTGAGATTTTCTGCAGATTTCATGTAGAAAATTATACAATCATCTGTGAATAGACACATTTTTATTTTTACTTCCCAATCGGTATGGTATGCCTTTTATTTCTCTTTTCTCCTATTCCACTGGCTAGTACTTCCAGTATGATGATGAATAAGAGGGGTGAAAAAAGACATCTTGCCTCATTCCCAACATTAGGGCAAAAGCATTCAGTCTTTCATTTAATTATGTAGTAATCTTTAGGTTTTTGCATAGATGGTTTTTGTCAGGTTAAGCAATTTCCCTTTCTTCCCTAATTTGCTAAGTTTTTTTTGTTGTTGTTAATCATGAGTAGATTTTGGATTTTGCAAATGCTTTTTCTTTATTGGGATCAATATGGTTTTTTTCTTTAGTATTTTAATATGAATTTCTATGATTTAATTTTTTTAATGTTGAACCAGTCTTGCATTTATAGAATAAGCCATAATAGGTTGTGACATATTATCCTTTTTATATATTGCTGTGTTTGTAACATTTATTTTAAAAATAATTGAAATATTTGTTAATACTATTAATTACTAAATCCTAGAACACTCATGATTTGTTTAATTTCATCAATAAATAGCTGACAATTATTGTGTACCAGGCATTGTTTTAAGTGCTGGTGATTAGAACACTGAACAAAATAGAGGTCTGTCCTTAAATGGTATTACTCTCTAGAATGTAAAAAACTTTTACTGAGTGCTGTGAGGAACTTTAGAGCAGTGTACTGGAGTGGAGAGTCACAAAGTGAGGGGCTAATGCTATTTTAAAAATATTGGTCAAGGAAAGACTCTGATGAGATGACTATAGAGCAAAAACATGAATGAAGTGAGGGAGTCAGCCATTATTTTTGTGGAAAATTGTTCTAGGCTTAGAAAATAGCAAGCACAAAGTACCTGAAGGAAGAATAGCACAGACGCCATTGTTTCTGGAGTGTAGTAACCCATGGAGAAAGTTGTAGAAGTAGTTAGGGATCTGATAATGGAGAACTTTGGTAGGCCGTGGTAAGGATGACTCTGGATTTTATTCTAACTACTCTAGTCCTGGTGCACATGATTCATGCACGGGTAGGGTCCCTAGGCCTGGCTGGTGATCAGTGCCGATCGGGGCCTACCCCCCCCCCCCCCCGCCAGCTGCCTGCTGCCTGCTGGGGCCTTCCTTCGTTCTGCACCACCCCCTGGTGGTCAGCACACATCATAGTGGGCGGTCGAACTCCCGGTCGGTCAAACTCCAGAGGGGATAATTTGCATATTAACCTTTTACTATATAGGAAATGACATCCACTTATCTGCTGTATGTCAGATAGTTTTTCATGTTGGCCATATAGTGGTTAACAAAATAGTAAAATCCAAGCCTTCTTAGAAGTGTTAATGATAAGTGTAGTTGTTTATGTAGTGGTAGAGTTTAGAATAATCAGTTGGGAAACATTGTTATACACAATGATTACATATTTAAATAATTGGAGTAAGTGCATTTATGTTTTATGCTAAAACTATACCAACATAGTTTGACCTTTTTTTTTTTTAATTTACAGGAGACATTTATTTTCATGAGTTCCTTTTTGCTGCAAAGTAGACAGATTTTCAGGTTAGAATTTCTTACAAGGATACACTTGAGAATAGAATACAGAGGAACTGCATGCAAATCCTAGAATAGGAACTGTGATATGGTGGGCCTTCCTAGACTAGAACCCAAAAGTTTTCATATATAATTGTATTAGTTATTTATTGCTATGTAACAAATTATCCCAAAATTTAATGGCTCGAGTATTTTTCTGTGGGTTAGAAATATGCATGGCTTGGCTGGGTGCCTCTGGCTCAAGGTTTCTCACAAGACTGCAATCAAGGTGTTGGCTCAGGTGGTAGTCATCTGAAGGCTTGACTGGGGAGGGATCTACTTCTCAGATTACTCACATGCTTGTTTACAGGCCTTAGGTCATGGCTATCTGTTGGCTGGAGACATCATTTCTTTGCTATGTGGGTCCTTTCAGTTCACAGCATGGCACCTAGCATCCCTGAGTGAGAGTGGCAAGATGGAAGCCACAGTCCCTTTGTAGCCTAATCTCGGAAGTGAACATCCCATCATCTCTGATGCATTCTGTTTTAGTGACTAAAAGCAAGTCACTAAATCTAGTCCACACTCAAAGGAGAAGATTATCCAAGGGCATGAATACCAGGAGATGGGGATTATTAAAATCATTTTAGAAGCTGCCTATCATGCCAAGTAAGCCTTAGATATCTCACCAGAGTTGTTTTTGTGTATTTTTTTCTAGTTCTCTACCATAAATGTGCCTTAGCCACTCTCAATCTACATTTCGTTCCCTTTCCTTTTGCTATCAACTCTAGTTCTTAACTATTAACCTGTGTATATATTCTCTACCTCTTATTTTTAGTTTTCCCTTATCTTTAGTTTGTCCAGGGCCTAAGGAGAACTGTACTGTGTCATATTTCACCTCTTTCCCTTCTGCTAGCCACTTTTATTAAATCCTTAACACTCTGTTAAACTTTTTGAGGGAGAGTAGGTGGGTAGGGAAGGGGTAGAGTATGGTATCTGTTCAATATAACTACTTCACTAGAAAGAACACTGATTAAGGCAGTTTCCCTTAGAGAGCAATAATAGTTATTTAAATACTGTTGCAGATATTTATAGGTTAGAGATACAGTCATTGAGTTGATCAAGTGACAGAATCTTGAGATTTCCCAATGCTAATAGCTTGTTTTATGATTATATATTTCTCATAAAAGTAGAATGAAAAATATATACTATAATATATATTATAAACCCATAATCTGGTTATTTTTGTTTGTTACGTTTTTATTTAGAAAAAATGAAAATGGTATATATAAGATTTATTATTTTTTAGGCATTATATAAAACGGTTCTCAACCTTCCTAATGCTGCGACCCTTTAATACAGTTCCTCATGTTGTGGTGACCGCAACCATAAAATGATTTTCGCTGCCACTTCATAACTGTAATTTTGCTACTGTTATGAATCGTAATGTAAATATCTGATATGCAGGATGTATTTTCATTGTTACAAATTGAACATAATTAAAGCAGTGATTAATCACAAAAACAATATAATTATATATGTGTTTTCTGATGGTCTTAGGCGACCCCTGTGAAAGGGTTTTTCGACTCCCAAAGGGGTCTCGACCCACAGGTTGAGAACCGCTGATATAAAAGTATGTAAATTTTGAGACATATGGAACTCTGGAAGAGGAATATACATAAATCTCTATTTTTTTTGAGACATCATCCTCTATAATAAAAGCCTAGTATGCAACCAGGAGTTCGACCGCTCGCTATGACGTGCGCTGACCACCAGGGAGCAGCGGGGAACATGGTCGGCGTCTGCAACGGGGAGCTGGCAGCAGGCTGCAGTGAAGGCACTGCCGGCTCCGACGGGCCCCGACAACAGGGGGACCGTGGTGGGATGGTGGAACAGGTGAGCGGGCGGCGCCAGGCCAAGGCAGGTAAAGTGGGGGCCGATCACCCTGCAGATGGCGACTGGCGGTGGCGGCCCCGCCCCTTGCCATAATTATTTTCCTTTCAATGTGCACGAATCCGTGCACTGGGCCACTAGTACATCAATAATTCTATACATATAGAAAAGGCAAACACTTATTTTTTTATCACACAGAATTAACATCCGTTAACATACGTTCATTTTGTGTTTAGTCTTTTCCCCCCAAGTAATAAAACTTTGTAGTTAAAATTTAACTTCTTTTAAACCTCCATTATTCTGTTTAATGGAACTTGATGCAGCTACTGTTATAACCTTGGTGGATATTTTTCTGTTTTGTTTTTTAAACACATAAACAGATAAACACCTAAGTACATATATGGTAGGTATCCTTTTTCTTTAACTTTATGCTTTTTGAGGTTTGTCCATATTGGACATATAGATTCAGCCACTCTTTTTAATTGCTATATAGTATTCCATCACGTTTTATTATGCATTGTTAGATATCTGGATTGCTTTGAAAGAATATTTTGCTATTAAAAACACTGATCTCTTGTGCATCTATGATACGTTCAGACTTAAAACATTATTTTTAATTTGGTAGTTGGAAAACTGGTCTCTAGTTTTTTTATTAATCTACTAGAGGCCCAGTACACGAAATTTGTGCATGGGGGGCGGGGTTCCCTCAGCCTGGCCTGCACCCTCTCACAATCTGGGACCCCTTGGGTGATGTCCGACTGCCTGTTTAGGCCCAGTCAGACATCCCTCTTGCAATCTGGGACCACTGGCTCCGAACTGCTCGCCTGCCTGCCTGCCTCGTCGCCCCTAACCACTCACCTGCCTGCCTAATCACCCCTAACCATTCTGCCTGCCTGTCTCATTGCCCCTAATCACTCGCCTGCCTGCCTGATCGCCCCTAACCACCTCTGCCTGCCTGATCGCCCCTAACCACTCTACCTGCCTGCCTGATCACCCCTAACTGCTCACTTGCCTGCCTGATCGCCCCAACTGCTTCTGCCTCGGCACCCGCCGCCGCGGCTTCGTCCGGAAGGTCGTTCGGCTGTCTGGTCTAATTAGCATATTATGCTTTTATTATTATAGATATTTCCTTCATTACTGGTGAGCTTGAGTATATGTTTAATGACTATTTGGATATTGTCATCTGTGAAATGCCTGACTGTTCTATTCATTGCCCATTTTTAGGAGTTCCTTATATATTTTGGATACTAATTTTTTTTGAATACATTTTATTGATTTTTTACAGAGAGGAAGGGAGAGGGATAGAGAGTTAGAAACATCAATGAGAGAGAAACATCGATCAGCTGCCTCCTGCACAACCCCGGATGTGCCCACAACCAAGGCACATGTCTCCGACCGGAACCGAACCCGGGACCCCTCAGTCCGCAGGCCGACGCTCTATCCACTGAGCCAAACCGGCTAGGGCTGGATACTAATTCTTTGTCTAGTATATATGGTGTAGATATTTTTTCCTAATCTGTGCCTCGCTTTTAACCCTATATGTGTTTTTTTAATTGCATAGAAGTTTTTGTGTCTCTTTTTCCTTTTGACTATTCTTGCTCGTCTTTACAAGGAATTCGCTTTTGGTTTTCAATTTTTAAGTGGGAATTAAAGGCATAGAGTTACAACTAGCACATTGTATGGGGACATAAGATATATTAGTGTGGCCATTTAAGTGACTGTTAACTGTCATGTGTTGAAACAAAATTAGGGAGTATCATAGTTCCAAAGTATCTACAAAAACTTAAAATTGTTAATGATTAAAATTTTTTCACGAACTATTCAGTCTTCATAATTTTTAATGGTACTGAATTAACTTTTCTATATTTCACAATATATGGTTTTATATTTCTTCTTTTGATAAAATACAATGAAATTTGTTTAATTATGAGATAAATCTTTAGTCGTCATCTGGAACAGTCCCCCTATTTCCATGCAGGATTAACAGCTCTATAATGATAACTGATGACTGCCCATTTGTGAGAAGGAAAAAAAAGTTATTGCAGATGCTTTTTCAGGAAAAAATTTTGTGCATTGCAGATTAGCCGAGTTTTCATTATTACATTTTTAACAACTATTAAATTATATACTTTTTTATTTGTAGTTCAGCTCACTTATATCTTAAATTTCTAGTATATTTTGGTTATTTTTACTAATACTGTTTAGATTATAAAATTTAAATGAGAAATGGAGGTTTTGATCAATTTATTATATTTTTTAAAGATAATTCATTCTTACTTTTGGCTGAAAGTATGGTTTTGAATTACATTTTAAAGTATGATTCCCAGATTTCAGGTTGGAATTTTTTTACCTTCTCTAAACCAGTGGTTCTTAACCTGTGTGTCGCGACCCCTTTGGGGGTCAAACGACCCTTTCACAGGGGTCGCCTAAGACCATCAGAAAACACATATATAATTACATATTGTTTTTGTGATTAATCACTGCTTTAATTATGTTCAATTTGTAACAATGAAAATACATCCTGCATATCAGATATTTACATTACGATTCATAACAGTAGCAAAATTACAGTTATGAAGTAGCAACGAAAATAATTTTATGGTTGCGGTCACCACAACATGAGGAACTGTATTAAAGGGTCGCGGCATTAGGAAGGTTGAGAACCATTTCTCTAAACATTGTTTAAAAACGGAATCTTGAGATGTACAGTTGGGCTTTGAACAACATCTGTATGAACTACATCAGTCCACTTACACACTTGTTTTTTGTTTTTTTTTTTCAATTAATACTGTAAATCTGTTTCTCTTCCTTATTTTCTTAATACCATTTTCTTTTTTCTAGTTTACTTTATTGTAAGAATGCATATAACATACAAAATATTTGTCAATCAACTATGTTACCATTTTGGGGGGAGTCAAATATGCCGATTTTTGATTGTGTGGGAGGTTGATGCCCCTAACCCCTGCGTTGTTCAAGGGTCAACTGTATTATATTCACAAATATTTGTCTAATACTGTGCTAGGTAGTGTGAAACTTTAATTGGAGTTTTGGGTATAGGCCCACAGTCAGAGTGAAGAATAGTGTAGTGCTAGTTGAATTCCTTATGAGCTAGGAAAGAGCAGAGATAGTGTTAGGAATTGGGAAAAAAAGGAGTTTGATTTAGTTAATATTTTAATCAGAAACATTAAAAATGTTGCCCCTGGAAGGCGTATAAGCATAAAACTCTTTTCTAGATATCTGATTACTTATTTTTACATTGCTTTAGGTTTCCAGTAATTATCTGCAGGATTCGCCATGACCCCAGCTCTGAGGGAGGCAGCAACAAAGGGTATCTGCTTTTCATCTCTACCAACTACCATGGAGTCTGACAAGATGCTATGCATGGAAGGCCCAAGAACTATGGATGAAAAGCTAAAGGGAGACACTTTCTCTCAGATGCTGGGATTTCCAACTGCTGAACCTACTCTTAACACTAATTTTGTGAATTTAAAACATTTTGGCTCCCCTCAGTCTTCAAAACATTATCAGACTGTTCTTTTAATGGGTTCTAATTCTACATTAAATAAATACAATAAGAATTGTAAACAAAAGAAATTAGGGGAACCCAACTGCAATAAGCTGAAAAACATACTGTGTAATGGCAGCAACATTCAGCTCAGTAAAATTTGTCATTCTCATTCTGAAGAGTTCGTCAAAAAGGAACCTCTGTCAGATAACACAGGCCATTGCATGACAGATGTAAAAATTACTTTGGATTCAAATATAACCAAAGACACTAATGTAGATAAAGTACAACTACAAAACTGTAAATGGTACCAAAAGAATGCACTTTTGGATAAAGTTACTGATGCTGAGATTAAAAAGAGTTTATTGCACTTTGCTCAAAAGAAAATTGGGCCTGGCCATTCAAATGTGCCTGCTAGTTCCTCAGCTTCTGAAAAAGAAGAGGGAGTGAATGCTCGTTTACTTAATTGTATAAGCAAACAGAAAATTTTACTTAGTCAGGCTAGAAGAACTCAGAAACATTTGCAGATGCTCCTGGCAAAGCATGTTGTTAAGCACTATGGTCAGCAAATGAAATTTTCTATGAAACATCAACTCCCCAAAATGAAGATTTTTCATGAACCTACTACAGTTTTGGATAACAGTTTTTCTAAATGCACTGAAATTAAGCCAGACATCAATTTATTGACTGCCGAGAATAAATTATGGAATGATACAAAAAATGGCTTTGCACGGTGTACAGCTGCAGAAATCCAGAGATTTGCACTGTCTGCTACAGGGCTGTTGACTCATGTTGAAGAGGGTCTGGATTCTGATGCAACTGATAGCAGCTCCGATGACGATTTGGATGAATATACCATTAGAAAAAATGTGGCAGTGTAAGTGCAAAATTATCATTAGACTTTTTCCTGTTCTATATATAGTGGCAATTTTTTTTATTTCAAGATATATTAAAAAGAAATAGATTTTCTATAAGCTTAATGCCTTAATCTTTAAGTTATAGAACTGACAAAATTTAAACGTGTGTTATTATTTAAACTGCTATGTTTGAATATATACATGCTATTTAAAAAAAGTTATTTATCTAGGAAAAACCAACACAGGAATAATAAAAGCTAACTGGCTGTAAGTAAGCATTGTTCCTATTCTTGAATAGAATAGGCTATAGACAAGGCCTAACATTTTGCTTAAGTGATCTAGCCAATATGTATATCTAAACTCAAAAAATATAAAGTCTACACATAGGGAGCCCTCATTGACTTCAGAAGTTTATCAGTTGAGAGTATATATAAGTTGATCTACATTTATTTTTAACTATTTATATATTTGTATTCAAAGCTTTCAGCTCTGGTCTTCACCAGCTTAGTAAATTTTTGCTAGATTAATGTAGCTAAAACAAACTATAATGTCAGGTTTTAGATACCTGTTGAATTCTTACCATGTGCTAGACCCTAATGAGTCTAAATATTCACAGCCTCTATCCTCTTGGAATCTAATCTACTTCAAAGAGGTTTCTAGATATGAAAACAAAACCATAAAAACAAAGCTAAATAGTTTCACTTATCATGTTAATATTCCAGAACAGCTCTATCTCATGGAAGTTTCTGAGATGATGGAGTGCTCTATATCTGTGTTACCCAGTAGGCACTAGCCTCGTGCGGCCAATGAGCACTTGGTGAAATGCGACCAGAACAACTAAGAAACTAAATTTTTAATTTTTTTAAAATTTGAATTACTTTTATTTAAATAGCCAGATAGAACATAGTTTTCAATCTCGCTTCCAGGGAATCTGGTAATATTCCTAAATTTAAATTGATGCAAAGTACTGTGTATACGTGGTATTTTGGGAGGAAGAAGTTCAACATTTTTATCTACTTCTCAAAGATAAATGAGAATCATTATAGAATTAAGCTGAACACGTTATTTTTTATTAATAAAAAAGACAGTTTATTAATTTTTATAGGCGGGAATAAAGTGTAAAGCACAGTCTTTTGGTGTTCTGTTATCACTATATTTGACATTTGTTTGAATGTGGGAGTTAATAGTTATTGAGCACATACTATTTTTCTGACTGACATTGTGGTATTTATTTTATATATGATATATTAATTGATCTTTGGAATGCATAATTGATTTCTGAATGTTGAACCAGCCTTGCATACCTAGGATAAATCTCACTTGGTCATAGCATATAAATTTTTTTATACATTGTTGAATTTGATATAGCTAATATTTTGTGGAGGATTTTGCATTTATCTTTATGAGACATATATATTTGTAGTTTTCTCATATGTCTTTGGTTTTTGTATTAGGGTAATGCTGGCCTTATAGAATGAGTTAAGAAATAGTACCTCTGTTTCTATCTTCTGAAAGAGATTGTAGAGAATTGGACAAATTTCTTTAAATTTTTGGTAGAGTTTACCAGTGAACCCATTTGGGCTTGGTGCATTCTGTTTTGGGATGTTATTAATTATTGATCCAATTTCTTTAATAGATATAAACCTATTCAGATTGTCTATTTCTTCTTGTGTGAGTTTTGATAAATTGTGCCTTTCAAGGAATTGCCCCATTTATCTAAGTTATCAAATTTGTGTATTTAGAGTTGTTTATTTTCCTTTATTATTCTTTTAGTATTCATAGACTTTTAAGGGATTTCTACTCTTTCATTTCTGATATTATTTTTTTCATCACTCTCTTTTTTTTTTTTTTGAGTTGCCTGGCTAGAGGCTTATTGATTTTACTGATGTTTTCAAAGAACCACTTTTTTGGTTTAATTTATTTTCTCAATTGCTTTCATGGTTTCAGTTTCATTGATTTCTGCTCTAATTTTTATTATTTCTTGTACTTGCTTTGGCTTTAATTTGCTCTTTTTCTCATTTCTTAAGGTAGAAGCTCAGATGATTGATTTTTAGATCTTTCTTATTCCTAATATATGCATTGTCTTAGCTACATCCCATACATTTTGATGATTTGTATTTGCATTTAAGTTCATAATATTTTAAAATTTCAGTTAAGATTTCTTCTTTGTCCCACGTGCTACTTAGAAGTGTATTGATTAATTTCCAAGTATTTGGGGATATTCCAGTTTGTTTCTGTTACTGATTTCTACTTTAATTCTATTGTAGTCTGAGAGCAGACATTACGTATATGATTTCTTTTTTAAAAACATTGTTAGAGTGTGTTTAATAGCCCAGAACATGGTCTCTTTTGATGACTGTTTTATGTTAGCTTGAGAAGAAGGTGTAATCTGTTGTTGGATGTACTGAGCTCTTGAAGTCAGTTATTTTTAGTTGATTGATGGTGTTGCTGGGTTTACCTGTATTTATACTGACTTTCTGCCTGCTGGCTCTGTGCATTTCTGATTGGAGTGTTAAAATCTGTACCTATCATAGTGGATTAATTCATTTCTCCTTGCAATTCTGTCAGTTTTTGCCTCACATTGTTTGATGTTCTTTTGTTAGGCTCATAGACATTAAGGATTGTTACCTTCTTGGACTGTTGACCTTTTTATTGTTATGTAATGTCCTGATTTCTCCATCTTAACTTTGCTTGCCCTGAAGTCTGCCCTGAATGAAATTAATATAGCTACCCACTTTCTTTTGATTAGTGTTAGACTGGCATAACTTTCTTTATCCCTTTACTTGTAATCTGTATGTTTTATATTTAAAGTGAGTTTCTTGAAGACAACCGATAGTTGAGTCTTGTTTTTTATTTATTTATTTATTTATTTATTTATTTATTTATTTATTATTGTTTTGTTGCTTAAAATATTACAAAGAGTATTTGAGTCTTGTTTTTTAATCCACTCTGACAATCTCTGTCTTTTAGTTAAAGTGAATATTAATGTAGTAGATTAATATCTCCCATATTTGTCACTGTTCTTTATTTGTTGCCCATTTTTTGCTCTTATTTTTGTCTTCCACTCTTCTACATTTTGTAGTTATAATTGAACACTTTATATGATTTATTTTCTCTCCTATTTTTAGCATATCAGTCTTTTTTTTCTTTTTTTAGTGGTTACCCTAGAGTTTGCATTGTACATATACAGCTAGTCCAAGTTTTCTTTTAAATAACATACCTCTTCCTGGGTAGTGTAAGTACCTTATAATAACAAAATAATCCTAATTCTTCTGTCCCTTGTATCACTTTTACTTATACACAAGCATACACATACACATACACATACATACATAGATACTAGTACACATAGACGCACACAAATACAAACTTGATTACATTGTTGCTATTATTTTGAACAAATCATTAGTTTCATTGTCAATTAGACCCGTTAAAGATAAGAAAAATAAAAGTTATTTTCCTTCACTTATTTTCCAATGTTTTTTTCTCTTTATATAGAATGCTGTTTCTAACCTATATGATTGTACTTCTCTCTGAAAAACTTTACATTTGGCATATAGAGGAACAATGTCAATAGTGTGGAATTTGGTTTGGAGTTTTTTCCAAAACACTGTAAACACGTTAATGTTTTAGAATGATGAGTGGGAAAGCTTTTTCACAACTAAAGAGAAAGCCTTAGTAGTATAAGAAAGATGCTGAAAATTACCTTCCTATATTGCAATAAAGTTCTGGTTTATTGGCTTAAAAATTGCTATATATTCCACTATATTAAAAGATCAGGAAGTTCTGAGTTCAGTTGAAGTAGCTGTGAGGATAGTTCACTTTTGTTAAAAAGAAATTGATCAATAAAGCTACCTTTATATGCTATTTCAAATTTTTATTAACCTGGTCTCTGTTAGAAGTGAATATCTTCTCTCTTTCGTTTCTCAAAGGAAGAAGCATGAGTTCCAGGATATGAAGCTTTAAAGGATGGACAGGCTTATTGATACAAATGCCAGTGGAAACTTAAACTGTACTAATATTTTTATAAGGATTCTTATTGTTTTTTTAGGACTCAGATTTTTCAATTCCATAGATTTCGAGTGGTCTGGCTCTAATTTTTTTCCCTCTATAAGTTCAGCTATTTTTATAGAACATGGTATTATTCGGGAATGCATCTACTGTGTTATAGCAGAAACGCTTGTACTCAATTCTGGATTGATAGTGATAATCACCTTTCTGAGAAACAAGAGTAGTCTGTTTTTTATCTCTTTTCATTTTTTCATTGTCCACTGTAGTGGTCAGCAGGGCCATCACTGGTCCATTTGTGTGCAAGAGAAGAAGGTACTCCTTCCTCTAAGCAGAGTTAGATTTGTAATTACAGGGCTTGGGTTGGAGAACTCGTGGTGGATTTGAGCTCTGCTTGTCCTTTTGGGCAAGCCCTTGTGCAGTGTATAACAGTGGTCCCCCCTTATCTGCAGTTTCTCTTTTCCTGGCTCCAGTTACCCATGGTCACTTGTGGTTTAAAATATTAAATAAAAAATTCCAGAAATAAACAAGTTATAAGTTTTAAATTATGTACTGTCTGAATAGCATGATGAAATCTCAGGTTGTCCCACCCACTCCATCCTTCCCAGGACATGAATCATCCCTTTGTCCAGTGTATCCATGCAGTAATATGCTATCAGCCTGTTACTTAGTAGCCATTTTGGTTATTCCCTGACTGTCGCAGTATCTCAGTGTTTGTGTTCAAGTAACCCTTACTTAATAATGACCTCAAAGTGCAAGAGTAGTGATGCTGGCAATTTGGATATGCCAAAGAGAACTCGTAAAGTGCTTCCTTTAAGTGAAAAGGTAAAGTTCTTGACTTAAGGAAAGGAAAAAAAATCATATGCTAAGATTGCTAAGATGTTTGGTAAGAATGAATCTCCTATCTATGAAGTTGTAAAGAAGAAAAAATAAATTTGTGCTAGCTTTGTTATCACACTTCAAACTGCAGACTTACAGCCACAGTACGTAAGTCCTTAATTAAGATGGAAAA